AACATTGTTTCTAGTTGATCTAAAATAAAATATGCTATATAAATAAATATTCTCCGTGAGAGCAGAGCCCAAAGCTCGTGGCCAGTGGTGTTTGGACTGGAGCAGCGCAAATATTTTACTCTATCGCTTTGTTTTAAGCAACGGGGGCGTCCCGGGGCTCGAAATGCTCAGGGTAGGAGGGGGTAGGGATGCTGGGTGTAACTAAAAAGGTGCCATTGTCCGTTGAGGTCCGGTTGGGGAGTTACGGAATGATCTCATATCGCATTATCTTTTTAACTGTTTATCTCCTGAACTGCATCTTTCTTTACCACGCTATTCAGCGCCAATCTCGCCGTGCAGTCAATTTCACTGGTTAAGGTTAGAGTCAGGTGGTGGGGTAGGTTTAGGGGTTAGCATTTTTTGTAGCATAGTGTAGGAAATCAACACTTTAATTGACACACCAATGAAATCTTTAGAATCAGCTGTGGGGCGGAGTTTGCACTGAAGTGGATTAGGGGGGAAAATTACGCATGCGTGTCATGTGCTTGTCTGTCAATGAGAGGAAGGCACGCCCTATTTTGGAGCTCCCACCCCATTTTGGAGTTCCCGCCCCCATTTGGAGATCTCCAGGCTGCAATTATACCCTTCTCGAAAAATGGCCAACAACTCTGTATTACGTATGCCAGGACAGTAGTTGGCGCTGTTACCTTGTTAGTAAACAGTACCTGTAGGGAAGTGACGATTATATGTTGTATAAGATGCCTCTCAGCTGTTGGTTATAATATTGATGAAGTAAATCCACACTTTGCTGAAGAAGCGTTAGCAAACTCTTGAGCAGCAACAACAGTACCATGTACTCCGCCATTATTGTGTATGTTTGTTCGCGCTTGCCTTTAAAATCAACACGTATTGCGCATGTCTACATACCTAACACGTACTACGCATGCGCATGACGTCACCGTTTTCAAAGATTCCCGTATTGGGTGTTTACACGGAAACGATAACGGTGGCGTTTTCAAAAACGTGCACTTTGAAACCCGTTTTCAAAAACATGCGTTTTCAGGCCCCAAAAAACAGCCCCATTGTCATGTAAACGAACAGGCAAAACACATAAAAAGTTTCCAGTTTTTGGCTGAAAACGTTGTCGTGTAATCGGCCCCTTAGAGTCAGAACTGTGATTTTATAAAGTGTAAAATGTACATCTCTGTGCAAATGTGTATTTGCTGGTACAGTGCCGGCATTTTTTGTGTTTTGTACGTGACGTCAGTCACGTCCTGGGACTCACATATGTGGTGCCTTTGTTTTTAAACAGCTTCTACACATTTTTACGTTGCATGAAGAAATTCCTTTGGATTTATAATGCATACTATGACATAAGCTCAGACTGTCATTGTTATATTTGTACTTAAAGAATGTTCCAGTGTTCTGTCAATTTGTGCTACCCTGTCAGATTTTGCTACCTCCCATTAAAACCGTGGGTAGTACAATTCGACAACGAAAAATGCAACCTGTAAAATTATGGTTTATTAACATCTACACCTACCACAACCCTAAACCTACCCTTACAGTAATGCAAATAATTAGTGTTATATTTGCGGTTGAAGCTAGAAGGGATACAGTTACAGGAAACCAACAATAAATCATTTTTTCTACCGATTCAATTGTGTTTTATTAAAGTCTACACCTATGCCCCAACCCTAAACCTACCCTTATAATAATGCAGATACATTAAATATTGTTCAGCATGAGAAAAAGGACACAATATTGATATGCGCAGTAAACCTTGGTAGGACAATCTGACGGGAAGGATAAAATGTCAGGACACCTGGTTAAATACAAGTTAAACTGTATAAGCTGTTGTATAATGGAATTATTTCTATATAACGGTGTATTTGTAGCAGGAAAGCACATAAAAGATTTGCCATCAGTTTCACGTATGATTAATAATGCCATAGAAAATAAGTGACTTGTCCAACAGCTTGTAAAAATGAACAAAACATGTGTTATGTACATCGAGTGATTGCACTAGACCTCCGTTGTAAGCATGTTACCATCATGTTACCAGTTATTTTCTATGGCTGTTGCATTTAAACCAGATCATTCTGTTAGCCTGCACAGTAAATCTTCTTTAGAGCATTCTGAGGATGGGATTTCAAGGGACAACAGGTTTTATTACCTGCAAATTATTTGTGTCATGCTGTATGTTATGATTACTCAAACAGCAAGAATTGCAGCAGAGAATGAAAGCTGTTTTTTGCCAATTGTGTTTTTGTGACCTGTTAATGAGTTGTGTGTATGATCTCTTCAGTGGACGTTTCTAAAATCAGCTTTTGTGTTTTAGTTCATTACTGTACAACTCAGTTTTATAGTGTTAGGTCATGTAACAATTCACATGTTGTGAATAAATCTGACACATCATTCAGTGTTTTTAACCCTAGTAAAGAGGGCAGCCTAATCATCTCAAAACTAAGAAATGATTAGGTTGATGATGTTAGCACGCCTGTCCTCTGACGACGAAACCAAGTAACGGCAAACAAACGAGAGAACGGCATTTTTAATGGAGAATTGTAAAAAAAACAAAAAAAAAACAAAACAAAAAAAAAGAAGGTTTTGATGGCAGTGCACTGAAGAAAAGGGCTTTGGCAGCATCATGAACATAATCCGCGTTTATGATCCCCTCAAAAAAAATCTAGGATGACGACTCTTTGCATTTGTGCCGCTTTGTTTCAAATCAGATTAAAAAAAAAAGGAAAGTGTTTTACTTAACGATAACCGTCATTCGATAAAAACCGATGCGGTGCGAATCGAGGCAGCCATGACGTAAACAAAGGCGTTAAGTAAACGCATGCGCAGTACGATCAGCGAGCCTCTCGTCAGGCAGCGGCAGCGACGTGCTGACGTCACTGCACGCACGTAAACCTCCTTACTCCAAACTCACTTCATAACGTCAGTCGAGTGTTTAAAATGAATCCTTCTGTGAGATGATGTGGCTTCTTACACAGAAAGGCACGCAACATAGATCATAGTATTCTAAGCAGTGATAAAGGCATTGCATTATAAATATACTTTATTTTAATGAAAATTATAATAAGAAGAACTCTGATAAACCGTATATTGGCGTAGTCGTTTATTAGTCGCGTTGAATCTTCTGTTTATTCAGCTGCAGCGATAGGGATTTCCTGGGTTTCTTCTGCGAGGTGTATTTGGAGTTTCAGCGCGAGAGCGCCCTCTGGCCTTTGGATGGAGATTTACTGCTGATCACAGAACCGTGCTACACTGAAAGATACGCATGATAATCGCAGCTTCTGTCGAATCGCGATGTCGATTCCATTTCGATTTATCGTGCAGCCCTAGCACAAAGTATAAAATAATGCGTTACATGCTCCTATTTTAACAATAATGTACAAGAGTTTGTGCCATATTGGGAATATAGTCATGCAGCAGAGTGACTATATTCACAATGCAGCATGGCCTCAATGCCATATTGATTTTAGAAAAACATTACTAAGCTAGTAGTTGTTTTCATTATTACTAGGTAATTAATAATGATATTTATTGAAACAATTTTAAGTAAGTTAACATGACATGTTTGCACCAGACAACATTGCTATATATAGTAGTTGCTTTCAAGAACACATTGCTAAATATAGTATTTTTGACCAATCAGAAGCCAACAAGAATTCATATATATTTATTACAGGCCTCATAAGTACATTGAGTAAATTCTATACATTCGCTTGGTCTAGGCTATATTTGCAGGGTATTTATAAAGTTCTGAAAGTTTTAGTTCTTTTGAAAAGCAATTTAAAGATTCATACTTTCATACTCAATAGTTTTCACAAAAGCTTTCCATGACATTTTTTAAAAAATAATTCTGTTTATAACTATGTTCAGTTGTGGGTTAGTTAGTTACCTGTCATTTAGGGTGTCATATGACCTGTTTTAGTACTTAAGTTATTAATAAAATATTCTGGATTAGAAGAGCCAGGTCGAGTCATGTCACAGGTAGGACAAAACACAATTCTCCATTGAGATGATAGTCTAATCACCATACAGACGAAAGATAAATAAAAAGGTTTTTGTACTTCTTTAAGAATAAACAAAGTGTCATCTATGAGCTTGCAGCAAGACTGAAGTTTATTATGCAGTTTCTGGATATCTAGCAAAAAGCTGCCTGTACCTGTATCTTCTAGCCTACCTATGTGCTTTGATAATTCTTGAAGGTTTTGTTTTGCTGCAAATTTAATGAAAAATTTGTGTATATTGTCCCCATGATCAGTCAGCTGTGAGACTTCTTTGCAGCTACTCTAGTATTGCCTGTCACAACTAAGTATTGCCTGGAAACTCAGTCACACCCAGTATTGTTTACATTTAAAATGTAGTTTTTTTTTCTTTCTTGTAGTAGTTTTTTATTTTTATGCTTAATTTGAGACGTTTTTAAGTGATACATTAAAACCAATAATACTCTTTTGTACTTAATTCACTGTCCACTGTTGACAACATAACACAGGTTATTATTATAGCTGACCATTAAAACATCCTAACTCAAAATACCATTACTTTGTTTTTAAAATGGTGCAACTAGTAGCACCAAATGGAACTGCAAGAATAATAATGATTGTTTCCAAAGAGGTTTCCTTGTTTATGTACATACGTCCGTTTGTCCCCATGCATATGTTCAGTGTACACATGTATAAACTTAATGAAGAGAAACGACAGGACCTCCAAAATGGAATTATTTCTTTGGAGACTAACATGTTTCAAACATGACTTAACTCTATTTTTTGCCTTTTGATTTTAGCCTCACTAAATTGAAGTGAGTGATGTGACATGTGGCCAAGTATGGTTACCCATACCCAATTAGTGCTTTGCCTTAGTGTGCGCGCACACACACACACACACACCGTGAACACACACCCGGAGCAGTGGGCAGCCATTTACACACACCGGGGAGCAGTTGGGGGTTCGGTGCCTTGCTCAAGGGCACCTCAGTCATGGGATTGAAGGTGGGAGAGAGTGCTGTAGATTCACTCTCCCCACCTACAGTCCCTGCTGGACCTGAGAGTCGAACTCGCAACCTTTGGGTTACGAGTCCGACTCTCTAACCATTAGGCCACGACTTGCCCATATTTTATGATAGTGAAAGAGGAAGTGCTATATTAGGCCTATTTGATAATAGTGAAGTTGCAGTGTCTACATTTTGTTAGTTTAACTTGTAAATTTTGGGGTGAGTAGTGGTCATGACGGAGTCAGAGGTTTATATGCTGAACTGTTCAAAAAAAAAAAAGTGTACTGACCAAGTGGTTGAGCTAGACTCGTGGCAGTCAATAAAGGACAGTAGGTGAATGTTACTCAAAGTTCCTGTTTCCACTTGTTATTAAGATGTGTTTTCAGAGGTACAATCACAAGTGGTCAGTCAAAACACATTACTGATTCCAACTGGTAATACTCCTGTAAATACTTGTGTTCAGATTTTGTCAAGACATTCCCCATAAGCCTGAAAACAGTTTATCGGAACGTCAATACTATTATTGAATGAGCAAAATAATGTTCCACAGCTTACGAGCGAAAGGTAAAGCAACCAAATGAGGATAAGGAGGGCGGCTGTAATTTAGCTAGTTACAACACATCCCAAAATTGAATGTTGACCACTTTAAAGCAAACCCCTTGTGATCAGGGCCCAGTTGCATAAACTTAGCCTCTATGTTAAGACAGTGTCTTAAGTACTAGTCTGACCAACTAGCAGTTAACCAAAGGGTAATCAGTCTTATTTTTTGGATTCAACTTAGACTAATGTACATTTTTAAGTAAATAAAAAATATATGACCTGCCTTAAAGAAAAAATTCGCTGACTAACTTTTAAGACTAGTCTAAACCTTTTATGCAACCGGCCCCAGATCATAGAAAACAATTTAATACCAGGTGGAAACAGGGCGAAAGTCAGTCAGTGGTTGCCATGAACTGTTCAAGGTACCATAGCAGTATATTTGATCAATTCTCATTCTTAAGGCAACAGATCCCTTTGTAAGTGCTGAAAGTATTCTTTGTATCAGTTCCTCCATATGTTTACAGTTCTTTTTGACTTGAATGTGACTAAATACCAAGGCTTATCATTTACTGTTTGTCCCTTACAGAGCAAGAGGTAGATATAGACTTTTTACGTACAAGGTAGCCACTTTCATGCAAAGTTATGTTCCATTCCTGCACCTGCCTGTAATTTTCAAGTGTAGCTGACTCAAGTGTGCACAAAACTCTGTTGCGAAGTGGATTTCCAGGAGCAGGGTTGAATAATATGTCCATGATACACTTTATGTCTAGGACTTAGATGTCCTCGCAAGTATTACCTTGAGGCTAATGTAATACTTGCGTATGACTTACCTATGATGGACAACCTCTTGCAATGTATGTAGTCCAATAAGCACCATACACTACATGCATTAGTTTTGTCTTTCAAACTTTTCAATCATGGTGTCAACCGTTTGACAACAGACAAGGTATTACATTTGTGGAATAAATTGTTGTCCTCACATATTTATGCATATAGGCCAAGCAAGGCTGCAACTAACTAGTAGAGGAGTAATCTAGGGAGTAACACACAATCACTATATAATGTAGTTGTTAAGCTTTCCAGTTGCTAGCTTTTAAACATGCTTTGACCGTGCCATGTCATGTATGTCTTGTTTTTTTAAGGATGTAGACCTGATATACGCTGAGGTGAGAGATTCGGAAGCTTTCCAGATGACTTTGTAACTCCCATGGCAGATACAGAGAAGCAGGGAGCAATGGTGCTTCATGAAGAAGGCGTGACTGCCCCAACACTGGCACCTCCCACTATCTCTCCACCGCCCATCTTTGTTGTCCTTAAACAGTTGCAGACTGGTGATAGTGGGAAAGACAAGTGCAGCCTGATGGCAATTAGTGAAGCAAATAAAATGGTGAAATCCTCTGTTGTAACAGGCATCCATCCAACATCATCCACTTTTGCAGACACCAACAGCACCGCACAGTCTGAGAACTTGCCAGCAGATGCTAGATGTAAAGGCATCACTGTTACACTGGACAACAACAGTATGTGGAATGAGTTTTATAGATGTCAGACTGAGATGATTCTGACCAAACAAGGTCGTAGAATGTTCCCCTACTGCCGCTTTCGTCTCTCTGGAATGGAACCTTTCCAGAGTTACTTGTTGGCAATGGATATTGTTCCAGTTGATAACTACAGATACAAATGGAGTGGAAAAGGATGGGAAACCAATGGGAAGGCCGAGCCTCATGTTTCACGTTTATTTGTACACCCAGAATCCCCTGCTACTGGCCTACACTGGATGCAGTACCCTGTTTCTTTTTACAGACTGAAACTTTGCAACAACTTGGACCAAGAGGACCATATTATTTTGCACTCAATGCACCGATACCTTCCTCGACTTCATATCATACCTGCAGACAAAGACTCTGAAAACATTCAAGTTGACAGACCCAATGTTGTAACTCTAAGTTTTTCTCAGACAGAGTTCTTTGCGGTCACAGCCTATCAAAACCTTCGCATCACCCAACTCAAAATTGACTACAACCCCTTTGCCAAAGGTTTCAGGGACGATGCGGTCAATGCTCGATCATCTAAGGCCAAGAATGGAATGTCCACTGAGGAAGCAAAGAGTGAGCTCAAGCTAAGCAGGGAGATGACAACTTTGAATAATTTAAAAACTCTGTTCATGAAGAGAAATGCTACTGTTAAGGTCAGTAAGGATCAGAATGTTCCCAGCCCTACAAATGGAGAAAGGAAAGCTGTTAATGGCGATGCTACCATTGTAGATGCAAATGTTCCAAGTTTGTGGTAAGTAGTTTTATCAACATACATTTATCAAACAGAATCAGATTTACACAAGAAACATACTCTACACAAGTGTTTGAATGCTTGACCAACGCGTTGTCCTGTTGTATGTACTTGACATGCATTCTTGCATTACAGTAGCATTAGACCTCAGTACTCAATATAGTTCCCTTCAAATTTTTGTGCAGTTAAAGGGATAGTTCACCCAAAAATAAAAATTCTGTCATTAATTACTCACCCTCATGTCATTCCAAACCCGTAAGACCTTTGTTCGTCTTCAGAACACAAATTAGGATATTTTTGATGAAATCCAAGAGCTTTCTGACCATGTATAGACAGCAAGGGAACTACCACGTTCAAGGCCCAGAAAGGTAGTAAGGACATCGTTAAAATAGTCCATGTGACATCAGTGTTTCAGTCATAATTTTATGAAGCTACAATTATGAAGCTTTATTCAACAATTTATTTTCTTCCATGTCAGTCTTCGATGCGCATTTACAAGAGTACCACAACATATGCGTGTGGTGCTGTTGACGCAGGAGCCGGCGTTCTGATGTAGAACGTCCATCTCTTAGTTCATTGTCTGTATATTCTGGTTCAAATAAGTAAGGCTGGGCAAAAAATTGCAAGTCATCCATCCTCTCTGTCGAAATCTTCAGCCATGCTTACGAAAACTGTTTTATGTACAGCGTGCATCTTCCTCTGCTTGTAAACAAGATGCAGCGCATCTGGGTTCTATGTCAGAACACCGGCTCCTGCGTCAACAGCACCACACGAAAGAGAAACTTTTTTTTAATAAAGTAAAAATAGCTATATTCTATTAGCTATAGCTAATAGAAATATTCCCGTAGCTTCATAAAATTATGGTTGAACCACTGATGTCACATAGATTATTTTAATGATGTCCTTACTACCTTTCTGGGCTTTGAATGTGGTAGTTGTGTTGCTGTCTATGCAGGGTCAGAAAGCACATGGATTTCATCAAAAAAATATCTTAATTTGTATTCTGTAGATGAAGGAAGATTTTACTGGTTTGGAATGAACTGGCTGTGGTATTATTCAGGTAGCTAGCCATAAACATGTTGACAATTTATCTAACGTTCTCAGCGAGATTCTCTTCAAGTGGTTGATCCACTATGATATCAGTTGGCCAGAAAGAGAAAGAAGTACTCAAAGTGTTTGCATTCACATACTTGCATTGTGTGTTTTAGGCTGTAGCCTGCATATAAAAATATTTTCAGATATTGTACATATTTGCCAATTTTGCCAAATTTAACAATGTTTGTCTTTTCTCTCCCGTTCTCTGACAGCAGCAAGAAGCGCCCATCGTCATTGGCATTCTCAGACTTTATTAAAGGTGCTCATGTGAAAGTAAAAAGGTTATCACTCGAGAATATCACGAAAAATGGCGTGGTCTTGCAAACATCCACAACAAGTGAACAAAAGGAGGGAATAGACATATCATCCAAAACAGAAAATATACTACAAGTTGTTAGTAAAGATGAAACTGTGGTAGGTGACATTCACAGATGTAAAAGCACAGACACCTCCTCAAAAACAGAGTTGAAAATAGATGAGAATAAAACAGAAATGCATGACTACAAAGCTGACAAGATTACATTGCTATCCTGTGACCAAAATGATGAAAAGGGGATGGAGACCCTTTCTTCTCTGGACACTGAGGCCAAGTCTGAAGCAAACACAAAGAAAGCTTTACCACATAAGCGGCCAGAACGTGTACCCCTACCACTCCTTGCTCAGTTTCTTAAACAGAGAAAGTCTAAGACGAGACCTACTACACCAAAACCTAATGTTCCCAGCTCATCCTTAGACTCTGAAAAGTCCTGTGAACCTGTCTTAACCCCTGAAACCTCATCTCCCTTGATGTCTTCCATCCCTTGTGTTACCACTAACTCCGATTCACAACCAGTACTTGCCTCATTATCTGAAAAAGTTAAATTATCATCAACAACAGATGCAAGCAACATAACATCTCAGTCCACTACGTTATCATCTCCATCAGCAACTTCATCCCCTATATCTGTAGAAACACAATTATCTGTTAGATTTTCACCTTTCCTGATTTGTAGTGATACATTAAATGCCCCAAACACTACCTCTCCCTCCAAACCTGATCCTGACCGAACACCTGACAATGTCTCTAGTGTGTTTCATAATGGTGATGTTTATATGACAGATCCTGACAACACACTCAGGTCTCAGTCAGACATTTCATCTCTCCCTACATGTGACACTTTGCATGACACTTGTTCACCTACTTCACCTGAAGTTAACATTGACTCTGCTGACACACCAACTGTCCCTTCTGTCACTGCATCTGTTTTTGATGTGCCATCTAGTACAGACAATAGCGTTATTCCTTACCAGCAACTTGCATCAGCGCCTGAAGATACTGGGAGCGAATCCATTTCTAATTGCCTCCTAGACACTTCCAAGGGCTCTTGTCCTGAGCTTTTTTCTGAAGAAGTTCCTCCACACATTTTGTTCACACATGAAGAATCCCTTTCCTTGCCATTAGATGACCCATCTTCCCCAGACTTCTCCTTACCCAGCCCAGCTCCTTCTTCTCCTGATCCATTTCCACCAAGTCTATTCTGTGAAAGACCAGTACCTCCTAGAAAGACCCTTGATTCTTTTCCAGAAAGACTATTGGACTGCACAGGTTCTTTCTCTCCTGACCTTTTCCCACTAGGTCTATTCAACAACAAGCCAGTACCTCCCAGAAAGATCCTTGATTTTATTCCAGAAAGACCTCTGGATGGAACTGTAACTTCAAGAGAATCATTGTCACCAAGTGTCCCTAGTGGGCCAGAATATCCCAGGGAAACAATTGACTTGATCTCTCAAAGTCAGTGCTCTGATCGAACAGGCCCTCTTAATGACTTGCAGCCTGCAGTTAGTTGTGAGACCAATGTTTCTGATCACATTGTTCCTGAACCAATTAAACATTACTCTCATGGAAGCACTTTCAAGAAATTCAAGGCTAAACAGAAAAAAACAGGAAAATTGAAGTTCAGTGAAGATAATGAGGTGTCCAAAGGACCCATATCTGTTCCAATGCAGCCCAGCCTGGAGGATGTTGAAGGCCAGTTGTTTATCTCCTTCTTGTCAAAGGTAACACAAATAACATGTCAATTTACTTTAGAATATAGAAAGAAAACTTTAAAACCATCAGCCACCCAAAAATGGAATCTCACCCTTATTCCAAAACATTCATATGATGATTGTGCCAAGCTTGATATCAATGAAGTCATTTACTACTGCCTCTCTGGTAAATCATTGTTACTGACATAAAACCTGAGTCAATGTGTATTAAATATATACCATATTTGAATATACAAATCCAATAACTGAATGTATTCAAGTGTGACGTGGAGGGGAAATAATTTTTTTAAGCAATGATTTAAAATGTGGCCTGTTCTTCATACAAAGAATTTGTTTAACTTCAGAAGAATTGTAATTGATGGACAACTTTTACTTTATTTGTTTTGCTTTATTACTTAAAAATGTTTTAAACAATATATTTTTTTATTTGACCTGGACCTGTCTACAGTACACTTTCTATTCATTTATGACAGTACGTCCTTGTGACATTCTATGTGGTTTATATACCTTAATTCTGAAATAGAAAGCTCTTGAGATTCACCTTGGAGATGATGCCAAAACGGAGACTGCACAAAAAACCACAGAGAATCCTGATGGTAAGAATTAAATGTCTTATCGTGATTAATGTAAAGGAACCACTTTGAAGTTAGCAAATGTTTTATTTATATATATTTTTGCTTTAAACAGGGGCCAGCTATGAAAATATAGAGGAAAAGATTGAGGAGCTAGAGAAAATGCTTTTATGTGATCTGAAAGTCATGAGGCACAGACAGGTCATTCATCCGGTGCTACAAGAAGGTTTTTGATTTTGAACAACTTTACAAGTATCACAATTGTATTACCATACATTATACAACAGCTCAATAAAGTTTTAATTTTAATTTTCTCTCATCATAGTTGGATTGAAGTTGAATCTGCTTGATCTCACCCTGGAAATTGACCTGCAATATCTGGGTGTGCAATTACCCATACCCCCTCCTGTACTCTCACCCGAAAGAAGTTCAGCATCATCTCAAGGTAACGGATCTTAGTAATATTAACTAACAAGCAAATAAATCATGCCTGAATTATGATTCAGGTTTTCATTGTCATGAATGCATTTTCCCTCTGTAGTCCGGTTTGTTTCAAGGACAGGAAAAACCACTGACTTCACCAAAATTAAAGGATGGAGAGATAAGTTTGCTGGCTCAGGATCCCTTACCGACGGTATGCCATTTTGTCAGTAATTCATTACAAGAATATATCTTTAATATGATATTAACTAACTTGAAATATTGATATGATAATGCTGCTAAAATAATGTGATTTTGAATTACATTTTATTTGCAGGCATGTCAAGCACAGATGCAGGACAGAAGAACCTCTCCGCATTTTGTAGTGACATGCTGGATGAGTACCTGGCCAGTGAGGGCAAACTGATAGATGAACGAGCTGCAGCCTTATCCCAGACTGATGTTACGCATGTTGCATACCAGCTACCCACTAAGAGCACTAGCTACGTTCGTACCCTGGATAGTGTACTTAAGAAACAAGTACCAGCTACCTTATCCACAACATCCAATAAAGTCAAGCCAACTTTCAAGCTCAAGGAGGAAAATCAATCTAAAAAACACTTAAAGTCAGGTATAGGAAAGCAAACAAAACCAGTGCTTACTGTTAACAAACCTGCTTTGCGCTTGAAAAAGCCACAGCAAAACAAGAAATATAAAACTAAGAAGGAATCCAAGAGTTTGAGTGCTGAAAAGCCTGCTCTAGAAACTGCTGCAGTGGTAGCTTTTAATAAGACTCCCGCGGTTGAAGTTTCTGGCTCCACGCCATCAAGTTGTGCAGCTGGACGTACTACAGGTTTGCCTAAGACTCTGGTGAAGCTGATGGATGTGGAAGATGGAGCAGTGTGGGAAGGCAAACACCGTACCTATATCACAGAAGAAAGGGCAGCCATCGCACTAGCCACTCTCGTCACCGCTGAGGTACAAGTCAAAGTGGAACTCATCTTAGTGTGTAGTTTGATTGTCAATAATAACAGAATGTTCTCCAAAACACCTTACATTCTTCCTAATCTCTTTTTCTCTCTGTTTTAAGGGGGTATCAAAAGGAAACCCTGATGCCATCAGAATTATAAGACGACGTGCACCACCCTGCCTCAATGTATTCTGTAGGCTTGGCTGCGTGTGTGCCAGTCTGGTTCACTTAAGGCGACATCATCACTGTGGAAAACCTCAGTGCATGTTGGGCTGTAGCTGCCTACGACGCAAAGTTGTTGCACTTAAGACCCCCAAACAGGAGGAAAGTGCAACAGATGAGTCTGAACCTCAGCGAGTGTCAGAGGAGAACAAGGCTAAATGGAGGAAGAAAAATAAAAAGAGAAAGACTTATGGTCAGTCTATAATTTATTGCAATAGCAGTACTGTTATCATTACTAACATTTGACCACTTTGCCCATTATTTTAACATAATATTTTTGTATCTTTCCAACATGCTTGTATTGCTTAAAAAGTTGCTTTGAAACAATTTGTATTGAGAAAAGAGCTATGCAAATGAAATTAATTGAATTATGTTGCCCTTCTGCTGCAGTACTGACAGATCCGGATACAGCACCTGAACCGGCTAAACGTGTGAGTACATTATGGGATCGAAAAAGAGAAGGTTTGGATTCAGAAGTTCTTTTCTGTCCTCTTCCTCTGAGATCCACCTCTCCAGCACTCTTGTCTCGAGAATTTCAGCATGACCTGGAAAGCTTTTTCAGTCCTTCAAAACAAAAAAGGGTGAGACACTCAGACTTATAGTTTTAGAAGACATTGCAACCATAACATCAGTTTTGATCACTGTTCATTTAAACACGCTTTAATGGCTTTACTATTTCATGTGCAATTTTCTTTCCATTATCGATTCCTTGTATTTGTCATTTTTCAAATTAGCTCGGTTTCGTAAGTTCATTGATGTGTACACTTTGATATCCTAAGTATTTCCTTACTTTATTCAGATGGAAGAGATAAATTTGAATATGACTGAGGACAATATGGAGAGCGAGCTTACATGTGCTCGTTCGCGACCGTTTTCCTCCGTGTGCCATGATAAACAAAAAATGGTGAGATTACATGAAGGATGGCACATTTTTGGTAAATACCATGTGAAAATTTTACACTAACTAAACCTTTTGTAATTTTTGCAGGTTGACCAACACCACATCTCACAGGTCTCTACACAAGGTGAGTTTTGTTCTAACTGGTAATTAGCTAATAGCTGGTGTTATTATGGTTTGTGTCGGACAACATATTGTCAGGTTCAAGGACAAGTTTAATGTCTTACAAAGCTGGTCCTTAACAATTTGAATATGACTGAGGACAATATGGAGAGCGAGCTTACATGTGCTCGTTCGCGACCGTTTTCCTCCGTGTGCCATGATAAACAAAAAATGGTGAGATTACTACATGAAGGATGGCACATTTTTGGTAAATACCATGTGAAAATTTTACACTAACTAAACCTTTTGTAATTTTTGCAGGTTGACCAACACCACATCTCACAGGTCTCTACACAAGGTGAGTTTTGTTCTAACTGGTAATTAGCTAATAGCTGGTGTTATTATGGTTTGTGTCGGACAACATATTGTCAGGTTCAAGGACAAGTTTAATGTCTTACAAAGCTGGTCCTTAAATTGAAATCTCCTTTTTTCCTTCCACTCACAGATATCGAGGAGGGAGAGCTTGTACCTCTTAATTTGTCTGGCCCTGCCAAGCGACTTGAGATTATATCCGAATGCAGTTGGGCTAGTACAGACACCAGAAATTATGTTATGCGGATAGTATGTGAGCACATGGCTCAGGATCGTTTGAAGCATCCTTTCTGGATTGGCAAGTACTTCATTCAGCCAGTCTCCAAGACTCTACAAGAGAAGGAGGATGGTTCTGTCGATACATACAAAGTCATCATCTCTCAACCTACAGAGAAGAAAACAGAAGACGAGAAGGTTCTGCAAAACAAAGTTGAGCTGAAAAAGGATGTAGAGACGAGTGAGGTGAAAGGTCTGCCCTTCCTCTCCAGGTGTTGTCCTGCAGGCTTGCTCAAGGCTGAGAAAAAAGCACCTGATGCTCCAGGACGGATAATGGTATGCATGCAATTATCTGATAAAACCATTTAGATGTATTGGAATACACAATAGCATAAAGTAAATTTAAGGTGTGGTTATTTTCGAATGGACTAGAACCTGACCTTTAAAACCTGTGATCAATTGTTCTTGCAGGTTAATGGAAAGACATACCCACAAGCTAAATTAGAGTTGGGAAAGATGGGAGCTTTGCACCCTGCCAACAGACTGGCAGCTTATATTACAGGGAGAATATGTCCAGTCAGTCAGTCTGGACCTAACGTGGCAACAACATCAACTGTTACAAAGGCCTCTATCACATCCATTCCGGTCTCTACTGTGTCCACAGTAACTACAGTTACCAGCACGTCTGCTTCTACAACCACACCGCTCATCAAGTCTGTAGGTAAGTCAAGAAAAGGTTCGCAGTTTCACCTCCAGGCATTTCCCCTCAAGGTTATTGACCAAAATATTGGACATCTAGTATATTATTGAGCAGTGCATATCACTGATACATTTGTGCAGCTTTACTGCATGTGAGTATGTGCATAACTTAAGTAGCAGACTTAACCTGCTCCTTAATTTGTTTTTTGCATAGTGACCAAGCCCCCAGTGGGAAAGGTCTTCACCCAGTTTGTGGTCAACCACATCAACTCTCAAAATCTGTCCAACACTAGCACCTCACACTTACAGCCTTCTGTTCCAAAAATTGTCATCCCCTCCTCCATGTTGATGAGTGGCAGGGAGGCTGGGGCTTCTGGGGTGGCTCTTTCTTCTCTTAAAGCAGGCTTGGTTACCCAAGTGTCTAAGCCCTCAGACTCCACAGGTAGCGCCAGTTTTCCCACTGTATCAAAAATCCAAGCCCCTGCCATAACCATCCTCACTAAATCACCCAGCCTGCCTCTGGGTAAGCCTGGCTTCCTTGGTTTGCCATTGTGTGTCTTTGCTTCCCCCTCCAACAAAACTTTGGCCATGCATCTACTGGGAGAATGTAACATACTTGACCTTCATATGGGTCTGTGCTTGTGATTTAGAGCTTGCTATAGCTTCAAAGTATGATGCTGGATTACTTACATTTTCCTATGTTTTGTATACCCTTCCTTCCCATGATCTTTTTTTATCATCATTTGTGACTGCTATTGTAGACTTCAACAAAATCTTTGATTTTGATATGACACATTATATCTTCATGTCAGATCTTTTCTCTGTATAGACAGAGATGTAAAGATGTGTGGCACTATGTCTACAGTGGTAAATGAAAATATGAATCTGTTTTGATTCCTCTGGATTCATTCAGCATTGTGTAATTTATGGTAATTGTTTTGAACATTACAAATTAATCAGACCATGTTTAACAAAGCAACCAGTCACACATTTTAAACTACCTTTCAATTTGTGGTCACATAGTGTCTCAGACCATTTGCAATGCAACTGAGGTGTTTTTCTGTTGTGGACATAATGTGTCACCATCATCATTTGTTTTGATTGTGGGCTAGTTTGGTGCTTTGGGCCTGCTGACTTTATATGCTTCACAATGTCATTTCACCAAGCAACCAAGTCCAATGTTTAAGTTGCCATAATAAACATTTTCCCTTTTTTCAGGTGTGTCTGGTCTAACCCCAACAACTACTGTCTCTTCACCTGGATCAACCACTCCTGGAAAAAAGACTGTTTATATCACAGTTATGTCCCATAGTACAGGCCTCACCAGTAGTGGTCCAAGGTTTACAAAGCCTGTCACACAGACTCATCCCCCACAGACCCCAGGCCAAAAGGTGCTGCTTCAGGTGGTGAAGACAGCTGATGGCAACACATTGTACCGTAATCCTAATGGCCAGCTGTTGCAGTTGGTGCCTCTAAGTCAAATCAAAGCTATCAAACCCAGCCTCCTATCTCAAGGTCAACGTAAGTGGTTCTGGAATACCATATTAATTGGTTCAGGAAAAAAAGTAAATATAGATGTATAACATACATTTGGCAGACACTTTTATCCAAAGCCACTTTGCATTCAAGGTACACATTTACATTTTGTTAGTCCATGCTTTCTCTGAGAATCGAACCCATGACATTGGCATTGCTTGCACCATACTCTACTTTTTGAGCTACAGGAATGTATATTAGCCTTATATATAGTTATAGTTGTATATTGTGTATATATAGTTAGTTTTATAGCCATTTTGTTAAAAATGTAAACTAATAGCAGCTCCAGTCTTGAAACTTCACATAAATGGTTACACAGATTTCAAGTGTTTTTGAAATGGTATTTAAATTCACTATTAGTGGTTTAATTTGTTAGTGTTTTGCTGGCAAACACTGTTTAATTTCAGAATTGATGTCATTTTTACGTAGCATGTTCTAAACATTATTTTACTGAAATCCGGTGAGAAGTTCATAAACTTGTTTGGAGAAATAGCAAAACAAATGTATGCTTATCCCCAAAAGGCATTATATTTTTATATTAATTAATAATTATGTCTTTATCCCCCGCAGCAACTTTTATTCGTTTGCCCGCACCTACTGCAGTCAATCCAAAAAAGCCTCAGGGTGGCAGCGCTACCATAGTCACATCTTCCAGCCCAACGCCACAAATGCAGACAAAGCCTGCTGTCACTATACCAGTCTCTACATCTTCATCTATGAGTGGCAAGCCAGTGACACTCACGTCATCCAAGACGGTCTCATTGAGCAGCCTTCCTTCTACCCTTAAAGTTGTCCCAGGCTTTCTGGGACAGTCTGGCACTTGCACATTAAGGATTCTCCCACCAAATCCTGTTCAAAACACTGGAATTATCATTCCAACTTCCTCCCCTATCCTCCCTCAGAGTGGCTTTACATTGCTTAAGCATGGAAGTTCAACGCTACCAAACCAAAACTCCACTAAGTCTGAGACTGTTGTTTCTGTTAGCTCAGTTTCAACAGAAGGGGCAGTCAGTCATGTCCGTAACCAATCTGAAATGGATCCTTCTAAACAAAAAAGCTGTGACGGTTCTGAACTAATAGCAGAAAATATATCAGAGCTTCCATCTTCTGCTGCCTCCTCTCCAAATCCCAGTCAGTTTTCTGGAGGTGGTTCGAGTTTGGCTGAAGCTGGTAACAGAGCTAATCCCAAAGTGAAAGAAACACATTTTAACATCGCTCCAGTTTCTGAAGAGGAAGAGATTGGTTCGGACGTAACAGAATTAACTGATGACTCTGACCTGTACAGTGATGATGACAGAGAAGATGCATGTAGTTTGAGTGTAAGAGCTTTGTAAAATTTACTCTTTTCACCTTTTCTGAATAATTTAATGTAGCTCAACAAACTATTATATTGTTTGTTCAGGCTAGTTTTATTTTTTATCCAGGGTTCTGATAAAGAGGAGAGAATGTTGGATACAGATGGTTTGGGCTCTGAGATGAAAGATTATGCAGAGGTGGTGGTTGATATTGAGACTATTGAAGAGTCTGCCGAGGAAAACTATATTACCAAATTTCAGGCATCTGCATTGAGGCGGAATCAACATCAGAGGTAATGCACATCTGATTATGTGGAAGTGTAGTTTGCTTCTTTTTTTATGTTTTATTTTGGTATTTAACCTGATTCATTTCTACACTACGGGTGCATTTAGAAATAGATGCTTTGCTTATAAAAGTGAACCAATTATTTTTTAACTTTTTGCAGTGACCAGAAGCACATTCATGATGAAAGGTTGGAGGTGAGGGTCAAGGTAAGTTTTATCCTCTGTTTCACACATACATTTTTTTAAATGACTGATCCAACCCTGTCTATGTGTTTTGTAATATATTTCATGCATTGTATTATAAAATATCTTTGTACAGAGAGTGAGGCTGGAGAGAAAGAGGCGCCACACACTTAAAGAGTGCTTTCTTAAACTTCATGCAACACTCGGAAAGCCTTCAAAAAATCTTAAGACCTCCAAGATGAGAATCCTTACAATGGTTTGTTGTTGGTTTTGTTTCATTTCATGCTTGTAATCACATTGAAAACATTTTTTTTTATGGATTTTTTTTTTTTTTTTTTTTCCAAGGCTCAAAAAGAGATTGAGTCCCTGGTTAACCATTTCTCAGAACTGTAATCTTATATCGCACAATTCTGACTTTGTAACTCGCAATTTTGAGTTTATATCATGCAATTCTGAGAAAAACACTTCAGAATTGCAAGTTTATATCTCAGTTCTGAAGAAAGATACAATTTTGAGGGGAAAAGTCGCAATTACCTTTTTTTATTTTTTAATCAGTGGCGGAAACAGGCTTCCATACTTCAGTGATATTCATATGGGTAAAATTTGTTTATTTTGCAATGCCTCATTTTCAGTGGATTCCGCCAACCTTCCAAATATCACCAATGTTATTTCTCTGGTTCCACCGGTGGAGAATATGTATTTATTTGTTTGCTGTCAAATTCCTGCTGCTGTGGGCACCACCTGTTGTGCCTCTGGTAAATCCAAAGACTTTTGTTGATTTGACGTTTTTTTTGTGTATACTCAAACTACTAGACCAGCTAGATGTCTGACTGGGTTTGCTAGCAATTGTGCATCAACTCTTTGTGGTAATAGTTGTGAAAGAAGCCGTTTACTCATGCTAACCTCCATATTGGAGCATGTTGTTTTTTTCCATTGGAGTTCATTAAGAAAATAAAAGAAAAAGTTTACTTGCTCTTTAAACATAGGATTATTTCTCCCTTAGCGCAATGAAGGTGAAGCTGATCATTATTGTTTGTGCTGGGAATTTTGTGTGATCATTAGGGTGGTTTTCCAGGTGACCTATTTAGGTATAATTGAATTTGCCCAGTGACTTTTAACAGTAAAGGATCAGGGTTAATATACAGCAGTTGACATGGGTGTAATCAAACCTCTTTCAGCTTTCTCAAGGTAAGAGAGATTTTTGCTCTGTGTTGTATGAGATGAGACCGAAATTGTGATTGAGTTCAGCATCCAGACCAAATTGGTGCTGGGAAGCTAAGAATAATAATTTACGAGAGATCGGTAACTAATTTACTTTTTGTTTTGTTTTTTTTTTCTATTAAAAAGAATCTAGTCCAAGCATAAGAAATGTCGGCAGTAAACAACCGTTCTTACTGGGCTTGGACAAAGAACTGCACCTACCCCAGTGATTTGGCCCTTCCTTTGGTTCCATACATGGATTGTCCCTCCAACCGCATGTACGGCTCCAACTTCATACCTCTTGTCTTTTACATACTTTCCATCCTTGGAATAATTGGAAACCTCTGGAGCCTGTGGGCTTGCCTGCGGCCGTCCCAGCCTTGGAGTATTGGGTCCATAGGCGTACTGAACCTGGTCAATTCATGAAAGAGCCAACAATTGTAGGACACATTACCAGGTTAATTAGACAACTAGGTTAGGAAACGAGCTAGAGAAGAGAAGGAATGCACTGTACAGTAAGTGCACTGGTTTACTGTTGAATGAGGGGGAGTAAATCCTAAGGTACTTCTTGGCATCACTAGATGGCAGACTTGATGTATTTATAAAAAAACAGCTATACTTCATAATTCAGTCCAACAAATGTTAACACTAACAAATTACCTTAAAACGTAATTAAGTACCTTTTTAACAACAAACAGTAAGGGAATAGATGTTGTTTTTGTCATTCAGTTACTGCTGTTTTCAGTCTTAATAGCACAGCAAGCTCAATTTGTTCTTTTATCATCAATCTCCATTTGCCAGCTTCAATACATACATGTATATATATAGATAGAGAGAGAGACAAAATCACAAAATCTGGTGCATGGGCATGAAAAAGCTACATGGGTATCACAGAATGGCATTAGGTCTAGACTGGAGAATTGCAACCATGCAGTGTTTACATTGGAACCATTGCTGTAAAATGCCAACAACATTTACCCTGTAGATGGTATGTCACTGGTCCAAGATGGTACATTTGTGCTTTAACCAGCTTAAACCAGCTACCAGGTTAAACTGGATTTTCCAGCTGGGGGAAATGGATATGATAATGCCACAGTTTTCTGTTCTACTATTAATTCAGTTATTTGCAAACACCAAAATAAACACTTTGCCTAAAGTAAACGAATTGTCTACATTGCAGTATCACACAACCGCCCATATGTGCAGTATAGTAGTCATGCGTTATATGTGTATTTAAAGTATGTGGCTAAGTGGCCAAGGCAAATTTTAATATTAATTAGGTCAAGCACGCAACAATTCGTACCCTTCCCGGGGTATCAAGTCACGTCATCTCATTCATATTCAGGAGCCGAGAGTTCCCCCATAATAGAAATAGTTAATTCCGCCTCCCGATTAATTCCTTTCAGCCAATCAGAAAAGCCGACCGAAAAAACGTCGCCTTGCATAATTAATATTCATGAGCCTCGCCTTTACAGTAGTAGGGTTTGTAAACACACACACACCGTACCGGTGAAGGTATCACGGCTGGAGGTTGTTCGCGGAGCTTTCAGACCGGCTCGCCGTCAAACTGCTGACACGAAACACGAAACATGGTCCATTTTAACAAATGGACGTCAGTGAGGAGCGCGTCTCTCACCGACAGGGCTACCGCACGCGATTTAAAGCTCCGATAGTGGCTTGTGATGACGGTGGGTTGGTTTAGTATATGAGAGAAAAGGCTGTGAATGGATCATGGCTTGTTTTAAACGCGTATCGTTGGTTTAATTGATTACCGACTGTGATTGTAGCGCCCCGCCATTTGTTTGCTGGAAACATTGACCCAACAGCGCACCAAATCAAGATGACCGTGGAAAACACAACTATCAAAAGTCGGATTAAAAATCTGCTTCGTTCGCCTTCCATCAAATTGAGAAGAAGTAAAGCTGGGAACAACAAAGAGAATCTCAGTAATAAGGTACAGTGCACTACTTGCGTTAAATGACACGAAGCATGAATGGAATCTGTATCTGCAGTTGCCTGTCAGTGTATCCTATCAGGATAGCTGTGGTTTTCTGCAGTTTAATACAAGGTGACAGTGAATTGGCACTAATGTGTCAGAATCTTTTTTGTTGTGTAAACTCTACACAGGCATAATGTGGCTCTGTCAGTACAATGCAACAGCAAGACTAAAATTCACTGTCAAATGTCACAAATCACTTCAAGCCCTGGTAAACGGCATGCTGGGAAAATATAATGCACAATCAAAAAAAAAATGTTATAATATAAATTGCCCTGAATTCATTAAACACTGGTAATGTTGCAGTGAAAATAAATTGCACAAAAATGCGCTGCGATATACAGAAACCCTCAGTTTTTAATATAAGATAATATAATATTGGGTGCCTTTTAAGTTTGGAGATTAAGGGGACCCTTTATTCAATATATAATATAATTTAATTAAAAAAAAAATTCAAGCAGTGGTAAAGTGCATGTTGTGAAAATATAATGCACATATGCATTATTATTGTATCAAGAGTAGTCATCACTGACTGTTGCATTCCATTCAGATCGCCTGTTTACTGCTGCAGACCCTTGGATGACTGACTGTACTTCCCGTTCATACACAGGAGCCTTGTGACTTTATGATTGTTGAGACTGTTGTGCAACTGAAACGAATGCCTTGAGTAACTCCGAGACCTCAGCTGCATATGATTTGTTGCTCATAAATTACACACTGTTGTTCTCACTAGCACATTTTCTGTAACCAAATCCATATCTATATGGAACGGTTCACTAGTCTGTAGTGTTCGTAGTGCTGGCTAAGGCATCACTGATATTATTGCTCAATTTATGCCCCAACTCCTATTAAACTTAAGTTTTATTACATTTTATTATTAAAAGAATAGTTCACCCAAAAATGAACATTTGCTCAGGCCATCCAATATGTAGATGAGCTTGTTTCTTCATCAGAAAAGATTTAGAGCTCACCAATGGATGCTCTGCAGTGAATGGGTGCCGTCAAAATGAGAGTTTAAACAGCTGGAAAAAACATCATTCACACATGATCTCTTAAGGTTAATTTACCGGTAATTTACCAGTAAAGACTGTATGTGTAAAAGGGGCTTGTAAAGGATGGACCCAAGCTGTACTGTGGGACCAAAATATAATAAGCAATTTTAAACATTTATGGTTCCTGAATGGTTTCAAAGCACAATTATATTAAAAAGGAAAATGTAATACTACATTGGTCAGAGAAGACACCTTCTGCAATTAAATTTCATGCATTTAACATGCATTTCATAATTTAAAAAAAATAATCCGATGCTATCAAACCGTGATGATCACTGCTGTAGTGTAGAGACAATATTTTGTACATACTACCATTTAAGCGCAATGCAAAAGACTCTGTCAAGGTGCCTTTGTTTCGTACAAAAGAGCAGATCTGTCTCTCTTTTTGCCTAAAGCGGTTGAGGAATCTCCGGTGTACAGATCCAGACAAAGGTATCTGAGCTTGTTGTAAGACTATACATCCGTTCAGCTCTTAGACAGGGCTCTATTTTCCAAGGTTTACACACTGTATGAAAATCAAAGCCATTCCTCCAGGTGCTGTGCAGTTCATTGACTCAAGGACTTTGCTGTTCTCAGAGGATCCAACATACAACGATTGCAAGAAAGTTTCTGGAAAAGTGCATGACACAGCCGTGGGTTCAGAAATTCCCATTAGAGATGCTGAATGAGAAATGGTTTAAAAACAGCATGCATTTGAAAACGAGCTCTTTTTCCGTTGTTACAGCACTAAGAGACACAGTGGATATATGGAGGTCTGTCAAAACATCTTTGGAAAGATGATAAATCAAAGCAACAACCACAATTATAGTGTTTTTATATCAGCATGTTCAGCACAAATTGTGGTAGTACACTAAGGCTACATCCAGCTTACGGTGGGATAATGAATGTACATACGTAGCATTTGAAGTCCAAAACGCTGACTTCAGCTTATGGATTTCTTGAAACCTGCATTTTTGGAGGATAAAGCAACAGTAAATGGAAAGACCGGTTTATAAGGATGCAAGCTGTCTTTCTATTTACTGACGGCAGAATTAGAGGAGACCACTTCCATAAACCAGGTGTTGTTCCTTTCATTTCTCCGTTGACCTGTACTTAAAGTGGCCATGATTGATGTGAGAGAGTGTTCTCAGTTTGGATATGGCCATGCTTTCTTTGAAGAGATGGTCTAGCAGAGGTTTTAAAGGTATCTGATGTTGAAGACAGGTGTAGATGTTCAATAAACTGGTTTGTTAGTGCATGTGCATTCCTCATTGTTTTTGCTGGAATGATAGTATGACATTATGTGTTCATCTTATTACGCAATCTCTAATTACGGTAGTAACAACTTTGTGTAATTGCTGGCTGATTACCAAATAATTTTTTTAAACGCATTATAAATTACTATTAATCAGTGCTTATGCAGTGTAAAATGGACACTATAATGGGAATGTTATTGAAACATTACCCAGCCTGTTTACTGTTTGCAGATTTGTGCGTTTTATACTTAAGCTTGTTTTTGTGCTTCAAGAACTTGTTGCCTTGAGTTTGAACAGTTCAGCACTACTTAACAAAGCCTCATGGAAAATTTCTAGCTCATAATTTCCATTTAAGATGACAACACTGCTTTGGAGCATTGGTTTGGAGTCATTCTGTACTCTGGGCATTTAAAGTCTCTCAGGTTCTTTAAACAAAGTCGTGCATAATAAACTATTTTTATATCCAAGTGATATCAAGTTATATCTTCATCCAAGTGAATTCGTTGCACATGTAATTTACCAGCTTAATTGTTCATCTCTTACTGACTAAAAATGTCTATTGTACAATCACATAATTTACGTGCAGTTATACACATTATAATTACTAATATAATAATAGAACACTTGCGTAATTTAAGTGGCTAAAATTCTGCTCACACAAGGAGTTTTTTTTCATGTTTATTTTTGGTTCTTTTAATCTTTTCATCTGAAATCATGTATATTTTATGTTATCGCTTGCTTTTTTGTTCAGATGTCCAATTTAGTTATAAATTAGTTTAATTTATATTTGAGAGATTTTTAAATATTTAATATTTTATATTAATTTATATTTGAGATTTTTAAAATATTTTATATATTATATACAGGTGCATCTCAATAAATTAGAATGGCGTGGAAAAGTTCATTTATTTCAGTAATTCAACTCAAATTGTGAAACTCGTGTATTAAATAAATTCAATGCACACAGACTGAAGTAGTTTAAGTCTTTGGTTCTTTTAATTGGGATAATTTTGGTTCACATTTAACAAAAACCCACCAATTCACTATCTCAACAAATTAGAATATGGTGACATGCTAATCAACTCAAAACACTTCTATATATTATAATGATATAATTTATATATTTCATATATATTTTAAAATATATTATATATTTTAATATTTTATATTTAATATATATATATTGTAAAACATTTATATATTTTATTTATTTAAAAATATTTAAATTTATATATTTAATTTTTGTTTTGTTCATATTCAAGGATAATTCAGTAATCAGACAACATTCAAATAATGTTACAGATGTGAAAGTTGAACTGATATGATATTATTTCTCTTCATGTGACATTAAAGGCTCTTTGTAACTTTAATGATCTTGTAGTGCCCATCAAAACTTTTTTTTAATGTAATTCCTCAGGTGACGTTGGAGAAAGTCCTGGGAATCACTTCCGCTGGGAATCGTGCTTTGGCGTGTGACCCACGTTCAGGACTGGTTGCCTACCCAGCCGGGTAAGTAACTCAGTTGCACACAATAAGACAAGTTTTTAAAGATATTTTTGTGACACTTGCCTGAATAACCAGGTGAATGTAGTCAATGGAATGATGATCTATGATGGTGAGTCAGATCTCATTTTGGAGGTAGTCACAAAAGGTGGTTAGTTTTGTAGCACATTGCTAAAAACAGAGCTTGGTGACTCACATGAATATCCTTGTTCAGCATAAGTGATGCAGGAAATTCCTATTGGCAAAAGAAACCACAGAGAGGAAAAGGGGACAGTTAAGAGTCCGATTACAGATGAGTGATCTCGGAGTGAAATTAGGTGTGGTACAAACAGGAAATGCAGGATCTGAAAGAGCATTTTGAGTGTGTGCTTCAGACACGGCCTATAAACTCCTGAGAGTTAGTCTAGCGTTTTACAGAGACAATTTGACTCTCAACACATCCTGTATGCTTGGTTCTCTCTCCAAAGAGAATTGAATTAGGGCAGTGGCAAAGAATAAAAATTGCTATGGCTATTTTATCTCTGGAAAAGTGCACCTGTTCTTGTGATTTATAGTAATGAAGTGAAGTGACGTGGCCATGTATGGTGACCCATACTTGGAATTAGTGCTCTGCAATTAACCCATCCAAAGTGCACACACACAGCAGTGAACACACACACACACGTGAACACACACCCAGAGCAGTGGGCAGCCATTTATGCTGCGGCGCCCGGGGAGCAGTTGAGGGTTCGGTGCCTTGCTCAAGGGCCCCTCAGTCGTGGTATTGTACAGCACTGTACATTCACTCCCCCCACCCACAATCCCTGCCGGTACGAGACTCGAACCCACAACCTTTGGGTTACGAGTCCGACTCTCTAACCATTAGGCCACGACTTCCCCACATTATCTGTTTTTTTTTTCTGTTTTTTTTCCCGGACTTGCACAATAGCAATACCACAGTATTCTTTGAATTACTTTGGAGCACCATGGATCATCATAAGTGCTATTATACATTCTGATACCATCACTGTATACTTCCAGAGTATTTTTTTGTATGTCTCATCACTTTTTGTTCCAGATTTCTTCTTCAGACTTTAGAAAGATTATTATTTATTTCACTTTTCATAGATTAAATGAAATGGATTACAGTGTTACTCTACAAAGCTATAGTCAGTTGGACTCCAGCAGTGCTATCCATGTATATAAAAGACAAAAAACCTTCCTCTACTCATCACATGGTGCTTGTAATCTGATTAACGAGTTAATCTTGAGTTCTCTGACTAAATTCCTAACTCTCTGTTGCCATAACATGTCATCCTCCTAATGAAGAGAAGAGGTTTGAAAATCAAGTCATAAATGTACTGTATATGTGTACAATACTGTTCTAAGGATTGGGGTCTGTAAAGTTATTAATACCTTTATTCAGCAAAGATGCTTTAACTTGATCACTAGTGACAGTAAATACATTTATAATGTATTTATATTTCAAATAAATGCAGTTTTTTTTAAACTTTCTATTCTTTAAAGAATCCTGGAAAAATGTATCTTGGTTTCCACAAAAATATTAAGCAGCACAACCATTTTCAACATTGATATTAATAAGAAATGTTTCTTGAGCAGCAAATCAGCATATTAGAATGATTTCTGAAAGATCAGGTGACACTTAAGACTGATGATGCTGAAAATTTAGCTTTGCATCACAGGAATAAATTACATTTTAAAATATATTATAATAGAAAACAAGACTGTCAGGATAGTTGATTGTTCAGCTGATGAAACATTGAAAATGCATGCTTAAAAAAACATAACTTATAAAAAGTTAAACATGACCTGGCTAGAACAGTATTACATATTGAACAAATCTGCAATCTGTTGACTGCAGTATAGGAAAGTAGAAGTGTTCTTTTTATTTTTAAGGCTCACACAGCTTCCATAACAAACCTCACCCTATGCTAAGTCAGCAGTTTGATTGAGCCAAGCGAGCATTTGGTGCAGATGTCTTGGCTTGCTATAGGTAGGAAAATTAGCGCAGGCTTATGCAGCTGTCACAGATCCACTGACAGACCCCACATGTCTTTGAGATACCGAGCCAGTTCTTTACGAGAGCCATGAAATGCATTTTCTTGTTTGAATAATACTGTGCCGATGCTGTAAACAAATGTGAGGTTATCTGAGGTACTGTAGTTTATTTTTGAAATATATACATATATTTTTATGCATGCACTGTAAATGTAAAGGAACCAAGTCTGCATTGTTGTAGTCATAGTTCTCCACAAAGCAGATGTTCCCCAGCAGTGTGTTGTCCTGCATGTTTATTAGATCATACCTTTAAGACTAATGCGAGGTCAAAGTGCATTCAAAGCTTCTGAGATTAAATCAAATCTTGGATTATTATTATTCGAATGAAATACAAATGTTAAAAATGGGTCATATGATGCTGCTAAAAAGAACATTATTTTGTGTATTTGGTGTAATGAAATGTGTTTATGCGGTTTAAGGTTCAAAAAACACATTATTTTCCCCATACTGTACATTATTTCTTTTCTATGCCACACCTTTCTGAAACGCGTCGATTTTTACAAAGCTCATCGGTCTGAAAAGCAAGGTGTTCTGTGATTGGCCAGCTATCCAGTACGTTATGATTGGCCGAATACCTCAAGCGTGTGACGGAAATGTTACGCCTCTTACCATACTGTGATGATGCCGTCAGGCCGGAGCGATGATTCAAAAACATGAAAACCCATTATAAACGAAGCATTGCATCCAGTGGGGACATAATTATGGATTATAATGATTTATACTGTCTTTTTACGCGTTGCATTGCATCGCGCTGCATAAACATAAAACCATGTCTGGTGGGCAGCCATTTATGCTGCGGCGCCCGGGGAGCAGTTGAGGGTTCGGTGCCTTGCTCAAGGGCCCCTCAGTCGTGGTATTGTACAGCACTGTACATTCACTCCCCCCACCCACAATCCCTGCCGGTACGAGACTCGAACCCACAACCTTTGGGTTACGAGTCCGACTCTCTAACCATTAGGCCACGACTTCCCCACATTATCTGTTTTTTTTTTCTGTTTTTTTTCCCGGACTTGCACAATAGCAATACCACAGTATTCTTTGAATTACTTTGGAGCACCATGGATCATCATAAGTGCTATTATACATTCTGATACCATCACTGTATACTTCCAGAGTATTTTTTTGTATGTCTCATCACTTTTTGTTCCAGATTTCTTCTTCAGACTTTAGAAAGATTATTATTTATTTCACTTTTCATAGATTAAATGAAATGGATTACAGTGTTACTCTACAAAGCTATAGTCAGTTGGACTCCAGCAGTGCTATCCATGTATATAAAAGACAAAAAACCTTCCTCTACTCATCACATGGTGCTTGTAATCTGATTAACGAGTTAATCTTGAGTTCTCTGACTAAATTCCTAACTCTCTGTTGCCATAACATGTCATCCTCCTAATGAAGAGGAGAGGTTTGAAAATCAAGTCATAAATGTACTGTATATGTGTACAATACTGTTCTAAGGATTGGGGTCAGTAAAGTTATTAATACCTTTATTCAGCAAAGATGCTTTAACTTGATCACTAGTGACAGTAAATACATTTATAATGTATTTATATTTCAAATAAATGCAGTTTTTTTTAAACTTTCTATTCTTTAAAGAATCCTGGAAAAATGTATCTTGGTTTCCACAAAAATATTAAGCAGCACAACCATTTTCAACATTGATATTAATAAGAAATGTTTCTTGAGCAGCAAATCAGCATATTAGAATGATTTCTGAAAGATCAGGTGACACTTAAGACTGATGATGCTGAAAATTTAGCTTTGCATCACAGGAATAAATTACATTTTAAAATATATTATAATAGAGAACAAGACTGTCAGGATAGTTGATTGTTCAGCTGATGAAACATTGAAAATGCATGCTTAAAAAAACATAACTTATAAAAAGTTAAACATGACCTGGCTAGAACAGTATTACATATTGAACAAATCTGCAATCTGTTGACTGCAGTATAGGAAAGTAGAAGTGTTCTTTTTATTTTTAAGGCTCACACAGCTTCCATAACAAACCTCACCCTATGCTAAGTCAGCAGTTTGATTGAGCCAAGCGAGCATTTGGTGCAGATGTCTTGGCTTGCTATAGGTAGGAAAATTAGCGCAGGCTTATGCAGCTGTCACAGATCCACTGACAGACCCCACATGTCTTTGAGATACCGAGCCAGTTCTTTACGAGAGACATGAAATGCATTTTCTTGTTTGAATAATACTGTGCCGATGCTGTAAACAAATGTGAGGTTATCTGAGGTACTGTAGTTTCAATTAAGTGCATGTACACATATATTTTTATGCATGCACTGTAAATGTAAAGGAACCAAGTCTGCATTGTTGTAGTCATAGTTCTCCACAAAGCAGATGTTCCCCAGCAGTGTGTTGTCCTGCATGTTTATTAGATCATACCTTTAAGACTAATGCGAGGTCAAAGTGCATTCAAAGCTTCTGAGATTAAATCAAATCTTGGATTATTATTATTCGAATGAAATACAAATGTTAAAAATGGGTCATATGATGCTGCTAAAAAGAACATTATTTTGTGTATTTGGTGTAATGAAATGTGTTTATGCGGTTTAAGGTTCAAAAAACACATTATTTTCCCCATACTGTACATTATTTCTTTTCTATGCCACACCTTTCTGAAACGCGTCGATTTTTACAAAGCTCATCGGTCTGAAAAGCAAGGTGTTCTGTGATTGGCCAGCTATCCAGTACGTTATGATTGGCCGAATACCTCAAGCGTGTGACGGAAATGTTACGCCTCTTACCATACTGTGATGATGCCGTCAGGCCGGAGCGATGATTCAAAAACATGAAAACCCATTATAAACGAAGCATTGCATCCAGTGGGGACATAATTATGGATTATAATGATTTATACTGTCTTTTTACGCGTTGCATTGCATCGCGCTGCATAAACATAAAACCATGTCTGCATTTGTGATCGGAGA